CCCCCCATCCCCACCTACCCCAGCCGTCACTGGAGCACACTGCGCCGGACAGGCCGAATGGACCCGGGGGGATCCCCCCCGCCGACAAGACCACAATTGAGACTGACGGGTCGGTCGGGGATCCTGGACGGACTGAAGCCCGTGCGGCCGTCCCGGCCGCCTCGGCGAGGGCCTTAAACTAGACTGTTTACCTCCGAGGGGTGGGGTCGCGGGGGTCGATCCATCAGGACGAGGACACCACCACGTCCAGCCCCGCGGCTTGGCCGGTAGTACTTGTCCCAAACCAGAGGGGCTTGCGTTCCGGACACTTCAGGCCTTTTAGGCTAACCCGTCGAGAGTCTAAGTTGGGCAATAGTTGTAGCCGACAACGTACAATAATATTGTAGTTTTTGATGAAGATTTCATTACACGGTTAAGTAAAGGAGAAGAGGATTATCGTTTCTGAAAAAGACATGGGACTGTTCAAATTTCCCGCAAATGGACTGGGTGGTACATAACGAACGCCCCCTGCGAATAGCAAGGCCAGGACCTATGCAGTCACACATTGCTATTCCCTTTGCAATTGATCATCGACCCAGATAGTTGGTCTGCTGCTGTCGTCTGCAGTCTAACTGGGTGTTAGTTTTTAAGTTTTTCTTTTTTTTTCAAAGGAAACATTTACTGCCATGGTTTGGGAAACACCAAACTCGCGAATTGGAGATTATCCTCCTGAGTACAACCAGAAGGTTCACGGACCGTATGATCCAGCTCGTTTCTATGGCAAACGTAAGTGTGTTAGCTTAGTACACAACTACTTTCTATTAATTTTTTACTTCCGTATTTGTTGTCCCACAGTTTATAGGAAATTGTGCCCCCCCCCTCCCCTCCACTCCTCAAATTTTATACATGTGGAAACCTCAATACACTTATTACTACTTCTACTGTTGTAGCGGATACTCCCCTTAGCCAAGTAAAGCTGGGTGAACTTCAAGAATGGATCCTTCGTCGCAACTTCCATCCTCGAGCTGTGGTTCAGTGTGGTAGCCGAGGTGAGTTTTAAAAATTGGTTAAAGTAAAGAAGTCGTCTAAGCTTTCCTACGGATTGTTCATAGCTTAAATTTTCTAGAACTGGTTTCCAACATTGTACAATTTTGATTAAATTATCATGTCCTAAAAAATATTTTCAGCCATCTGGCGGTGGAGGCAGAAGTATATGCTTCCCATCAGAGGTAACGCTTGCTGGGTGTACCAGGCTATGGCTGGCATTTCCCTTTTCATGTATGTCCTGAACTACAAGCGCTACTGTAAGTACTACATCCATTTTGTGTGTCGTTGAAATGTGTATCCTTACTGTGTGCAAGGTTTTGCTGTTTTACTTGAATACTAATTACAATTTAAATTGCTTTCAGGGGATCACGCCAACTACAAGTACCACTAAACCAAAACTCTATGCTGCTGTGAGTCTACTCAAGCTGTGAAAATGAAACAAGAATGTTCTGCTTTTCTTAACTGTGGCTATATTTTCTTTTTCTCTATAGGGAATCATGCTAGCTACAAATACCACCAAAGGACTTTCCAAAGCAAGATAGTTGATGTGTCATCAATTTTTAGATTGTTTTCTAGCTCAGTGACAAATTGCTTTAATTTTTGCATTTATACAGTATTAATTTTTAGTTTTATTAGTGCTAGAGCCAGAAACCTTTGTTATTAGTTTTATGCTTCTGCCTAAGTGAACAAGAAATAAAAAAACATATGTCTTAATCTGAATGTTCATTCCTGAACCAGGCCTTTGCCCGTATCCACATAGTGACTCAACAAAACTGCACCTACCAAATCAAACTTTTTTGTAATGCCCAAGTTTTTACCGTAAACACCGATACCACATCAAGGTACCCGCCTTGAGAAAAAGTACCGCCATATGTACTTGCACCGAATACATTTAAACGGAGAGCGAAAAGCGCGCTACATCGAACAGTTGAAGGTCACAATCGACAGTCAGCTGTCAGCTCTTTCACGTTCTGCTCGGAGCGGCTGTTCTGTCTGATCCACCATTCTAGAGGTTGTCAGGTCAGCATCCAAGATGGGTTGGGAAGCACCAAACTGGAGAATCGGAGACTACCCGTCTCACTACAATCAGAAAGTCCACGGACCTTACGATCCCGCACGATTCTATGGAAAGCGTAAGTATCTACGGACCTCCGTACGCATTTCACCAACCAATTAAAATTTCCCACTTGCCTTGTCTGACCTTGCGTCGTGCATTTTTGTACATCTCCCTTTTTCGCCTGATGTCACTGTCATTGCTTCAAAACGTGTGTGTAACCTAGGCTGTTTGTTAAATACCCATTCTACTATTTAAAATCACTACCCATTCAGCGTTGTCTGTATTTTCTATACATTTTGAGGTTAGGTTTGCCCACCGCCTATCGCATATCCTTTTCAAGTTCTCATGAACACCATTCTCTTTCAGCCGACACCGCTCTCAGCCAGGTGAAACTGGGTGAGCTGTCTGGATGGCTGATGCGCCGCAACTTCCACCCCAGGGCTATTGTGCAGGCCGGCAGCCGTGGTGAGTTAGATGGGCGGTAGTGACTGTGCAATGAATACTCAAGCATTGTGAACCCACAAGGCACTGTTGTGAGATTTTAGTTGCTTAACTAATTTATTATTATTTCAGGCATCTGGCGGTGGAGGCAGAAGTATGTGCTTCCCATCAGGGGTAACGCTTGCTGGGTGTACCAGGCTATGGCTGGCATTTCCCTTTTCATGTATG